TTTTGAGATGGAGCTCTCTTCTTTCTCATGAACTTGGAGGAAGTTCTTTTCTGGTCGAGAACTTATATGTTGTTTTGAAGACTGGGGGAGCTGTCAATATCTACTAGGAGCGAGCCCTCTTCAGTCTTCTTAAGACTAAGATGAAGACTCACCAGGAGGTATCAGAGCTCCCTAGAAGCTCTCGTCTCTTACCAGGCATAACTTGGAGTGAGCTCTCTTCTTGTTTCAGAGGATGAGGTCAGGGGGCTGCCCATATCGTTTCGAAGGCCGCGGAGAGGACCAGACATCTCTTGTCAAGTATTGAAATTTGGAAGAGCTCCATCCTTTCTTCTTGGTCGTAAGCTCTCTTCCATGTTTTGAAGGGGAGGAGGAGATGGTCAGGAGCTGTCAACTTTCGCCCCTGATGAAGAGAGAAAAGAGTTTTCTTCTTGTCGACAGAGAGGTAAACAGAGCTTGTCTTTTTTCTCGAGAAGCTAGAGGGCCCTCTTTTCTGAGTTGTTGGGGTTGAGGCCCTGCCAGGGAATCTCTGCCTCTACCAACAGGTAGAGGAGCCCTTTTGTGGGGGAGGGCCTCGCTCGCTTGCTCGGAGTGAGGTCTCTTCACTCTTCCCAAGACTGGGAGGCGACTTTCAAAAGGTGATCGAGCTCGCTTCTAGGAAGCAGCTCTCTTCTCGAACCTCTTCTGGTTTCAGAGCGTGAGGTGGAGGAGTTCTCTCTTTTTTCTGAAGGTTGAGGGACAGACCAGACTTTCTTTTTTGAAGGTTGGGGAGGGCTCCACCTTTCTCTTTGAGCGTATGCTCTCTTCCATCTTTTGAAGAGGTAAAGGGTTGCCGACTGAAGGGTAAACGCGACTCTCTTCTCTTTCGATAACTCGGTGGGGCGTGTCAGAACTTTTTAAGATGGAGCTCGCTTCTGTTTCATTAGATTGGAGGCAGCTCTCAGTCTCTTCTTGTCGAGGATGCGTTGACTTCTCCTTTTGCAAGCTAGGGGAGCTCTGTCCTTTATTGCTGGGAGCGAGGTCTTCAATCTTCTTCAGACTAACAGGCGACTTCCCAAGAAATTAAAATAGCGCACTGCTAGCAAAACCTTCCCTTCATTTACCACGAATATCTTGGGGGGGGGCTCTCTTCTTGTTGGGGGGAGGCCCAGATTTCGCTTGTCGAGGGTTGGGGGGAGCTCCACCGTTGCTTCTTGAGCATATGCTCTGATCCATCTTTTGAAAACGCAAAGGAGGTAGTCAGGATCTCCTTTCTTGACCTAGAGAGAAAGGAGGTCTCTTGCCGACTGAGGGGTAAACGCAGCTCCCTTCTTTCTCGATAACCTCCTCTGTCTGTTTATTGAAATGGAGCTCTGGAGGGTTTAGATAGTTTCGATAGTTTGGGACCTCTGCCCGGCCTCCCAAACTATCTAAACTGTCTAAACGCTCCCGGCCTCCCCGTTTGGAGCCCTCCGCCCGGTCCCCCAAACTATCTAGACTATCTAAACCCCCTGGCCTAGATAGTGTTGATCAATATTTTGGGGAGAAACACGGCCCATTTAAAATTTTAAAAAATCCTTAAAATCCTTAAAAAATCTTTAAAATATTGAAAGGCCGGTCTCTGGCTTTCAAAATTTTAAGGATTTTAAGGATTTTAGGTTTTTTAGGTCTTTAAAATTTTAAAAGGCCCTTTAAATTTTTAAAAGGCTTTTAAAATTTTTGAAAGCCCTTAAAATCCTTAAAATTTTGAAAGGCCGCTGTCTGGCTTTCAAAATTTTAAGGATTTTAAGGATTTTACGGTTTTTAAAAGCCTTTAAAATTGGAAAAGGCCATTCCATCCCTTAAAATTAAATATTGAGGAGAAGCACGGCCCATTTAAAATTTTAAAAATCCCTAAAATCCTTAAAAATCCTTAAAAATTTTGAAAGGCCGGTCTCTGGCTTTCAAAATTTTACGGATTTTAAGGATTTTACGGTTTTAAAGGCCTGTAAAATTTTAACAGGCCCTTTAAAAATTTAAAAGGCCTTTTAAATTTTAGAAAGCCCTTAAAATCCTTAAAATCCTTAAAATGTTGAAAGCCAGAGACTTCAAAATTAAATATTTGGGGAGAAGCACGGCCCATTTAAAATTTTAAAAATCCTTAAAATCCTTAAAATCCTTAAAATTTTGAAAGGCCGGTCTCTGGCTTTCAAAATTTTAAGGATTTTAAGGATTTTAAGGTTTTTAAAGGTCTTTAAAATTTTAAAAGGCCCTTTAAAATTCTAAAAGGCCTATTAAATTTTAGAAAGCCCTTAAAATCTTTAAAATCCTTAAAATTTTGAAAGCAAGAGACTTCAAATTAAATCTTTGGGGAGAAGCACGGCCCATTTACAATTTTAAAAATCCTTAAAATCCTTAAAATTTTGAAAGGCCGGTCTCTGGCTTTCAAAATTTCAAGGATTCTAAGGATTTTAAGGATTTTAAGGGCTTTCTAAAATTTAAAAGGCCTTTTAAAATTTTAAAGGGCCTTTTAAAATTTTAAAGGCCTTTAAAATGAGTAAAATCCTTAAAATCCTGAAAATTTTGAAAGCCAGAGACCGGCCTTTCAAAACTTTAAGGATTTTAAGGATTTTAAGGATTTTTAAAATTTTAAATGGGCCGTGCTTCTCCCCAAAATATTTAATTTTAAGAAGTTTAAGGGCCCTTTCAAAAATTTCAAAAGCCTTTAAATATTGAAAAGGCCATTCATTCCTGAAAATTGAATATTTTGGGGAGAAGCACGGCCCATTTAAAATTTTAAAAATCCCTAAAATCCTTAAAAATCCTTAAAATTTTTGAAAGGCCGGTCTCTGGCTTTCAAAATTTTAAGGATTTTAAGGATTTTACGGTTTTTAAAGGCCTGTAAAATTTTAAAAGGCCCTTTAAAATTCTAAAAGGCCTATTAAATTTTAGAAAGCCCTGAAAATCTTTAAAATCCTTAAAATTTTGAAAGCAAGAGACTTCAAATTAAATATTTGGGGAGAAGCACGGCCCATTTACAATTTTAAAAATCCTTAAAATCCATAAAATTTTGAAAGGCCGGTCTCTGGCTTTCAAAATTTTAAGGATTTTAAGGATTTTACGGTTCTTAAAGGCCTGTAAAATTTTAATAAAATCCTTAAAATTTTGAAAGGCCGGTCTCTGGCTTTCAGAATTTTGAGGATTTTAAGGATTTTACGGATTTTAAAGGCCTTTAAAATTTTAAAAGGCCCTTTAAAATTTTTAAAGGCCTTTTAAATTTTAGAAAGCCCTTAAAATCCTTAAAATCCTTAAAATTTTGAAAGCCAGAGACTTCAAATTAAATATTTGGGGAGAAGCACGGCCCATTTAAAATTAAAAAAATCCTTAAAACCCTTAAAATCCATAAAATTTTGAAAGGCCGGTCTCTGGCTTTCAAAATTTTAAGGATTTTAAGGATTTTACGGTTTTTAAAGGCCTTTAAGATTTTGAAAAGGCCCTTTAAAATTTTAAAAGGCCTTTTAAATTTTAGAAAGCCCTTAAAATCCTTAAAAGTTTGAAAGGCCGGTGTCGGGCTTTCAAAACTTTAAGGATTTTAAGGATTTTAAGGATTTTTAAAATTTTAAAAGGGCCGCGCTTCTCCCCAAAATGTTTAATTTTAAGGAGTTTAAGGGCCCATTCAAAAAAAATCAAAAGCCTTTTCAAAATTTAAGAAGGCCTTTTAAAAACTTGCAGGGCCTTTCAAAATTTTGAAAATCCTTAAAATCCTTAAAATTTTGAAAGGCCGGTCTCTGGCTTTCAAAATTTTAAGGATTTTAACGATTTTACGGTTTTTAAAGGCCTTTAAAATTTTAAAACAGTTTTTAAAAGGCCTTTAAAATCCGTAAAATCCTTAAAATCCTTGAAATTTTGAAAGCCAGAGACCGGCCTTTCAAAATTTTAAGGATTTTAAGGATTTTAAGGATTTTTAAAATTTTAAATGGGCCGTGCTTCTCCCCAAATATTTAATTTGAAGTCTCTGGCTTTCAAAATTTTAGGAATTTTAAGGATTTTATGGATTTTAAAAGCTTTTAGAATTGGAAAAGGCGCTTTAAATTTTTAAAAAGCCTGTAAAATCCTTACCCTTAAAATTTTGAAAGCCCGACACTGGCCTTTCAAAATTTTAAGGATTTTAAGGATTTTAAGGGCTTTCTCAAAGTTGAAAGGACTTTTAAAAATTTAAAGGGCCTTTTAAAATTTGAAAGACCCTTTAAAGTTGAAAAGATCTTTTAAAATTTTAAAAAACCTTTTCAAAATTTAAAAGGCCCTTTCTTTGGACAGGGTCCTTAAATTCCTGAAAATATTGGAAGAGGAAACAGACCCGTCAAATAATACATAAAGGTCTTACGTACATATGTATATATGTATGTGTGATGACCCGCAATCGCCAAGCGAGAGGGGTGTGTTTCAGATGTATGGTGACGGGAACCGCCAATTGAGGGAGTGTGTTTAAGGTTCTTCCTTTTTTTCGGTCTGTCTTCTTTCCTTTCTTTCTCCTGCCGCTTTCTTTCTTTCGTTCTTTTGTCCTGTGTTTCTTCCTTTCTTTCTGCCTCCTTCTTTCTTTCGTTCTTCCTCTCTTTCTTCCTTCCTTCCTTTCTCTTGTTCTTCCTGTCGCTCTTCCTTCCTTCATTCCTTCCTTTCTTTCTTTGTTTCGTTCTTTTTGCTTCCTGCCTTCCTTTCTTTGTTGTGTTCTTCCTTTCTTTCTTTCTGTCGTGCCTTTTCTTCTTTCTTTCTGATGCGCCTTTCTCGCCTTCGTCCCCAACACCGAACCACAACCAGAACAATTCACAAAACAAACTGACAAAAAAATCCGGTACCCCTTCATTTGGCGCCGCGAAGTCTTGTGCTCAGGCACTGCCTGCCTACGTTTACGAGCGTAACGACGTGCAGCATGCAGCAGGCCGGATGGCGGTGCTATCCTGTCAGAATTGCCTTGCAGAAACGGTTTGCATCTCAATCTCTTAAGATCGACGGCCTATGATCTGCGAGTCTCGCGATTTCGAGCGAAGTCTCTTACTGCTAGAGGCGGAGGCTTTCCCTGAAGAACGCGGTATGTTGTGGCATCGTGTGACTACACTAGTATGCGCATGGCCGCCCCAATCTACACTTCCTCATTGAGTCACTGCTTGAGTCTCTCATGCTCTCTCTACTGCCCTGCAAATCCAAAGCTCATCGACGGCTCGAGATCCTGCACAGGTCGCCCTTTTGATTCGATATGCTACTCTGAGTAGCTGTTGTGGTGGTGCTTTTTGGATGCTCGGGACACACTGATTGACTAGGACTCTCTAAGGGGCTCTGCAGCTGAACATCTGCCTTGTCATCTATTTTCGGCATCTCGTCGGCAAGCCGAGGAAATGCCTTCAACAGGATCCACTGCACCTGCAGAAGGGGCATGGACAAAGCTGCCCTGGCCACTTCACATGTCTTGGCCAGAGACCGGTCCGATGTCTCAATTTTGCCCACCCTGCAGTTTGGGTTGCGGTTCAGAAGCCTTGCTCATGTTCTCGCTGTGCTCGCGCTTGAGCGATTTGATGGCGTCGGACAGACGCTTGCCTCAGACCATGGCGTTCAAATGCGGCTACTGCTCTTCCGTGAGATATATGCAGTCTAGAGTCTAGAGTCTAGCGCAAAACGACAGCTGCGACATATCAGGCAAGGAGTTCTTAGAGCATCCAAGGTTCATTCGAAGAGCTGTCGCTGCACATCGAGCGCAGTTGCATTGCCCCTCATGGCCTGGCTGACTTTCAAGTCTCGGTCTCTCATCACACTCAAGCACGCTGATTGCAGGGCACCGAGGAGGCTGCCATGCATCCCTCCACGAACCGGTCAATGCTAACTTCTTGGTCTTCTCCGGCCACTGTCCGGAAGAAGTGCCTAAGGCTCCGTGTTCAAGTCTGAACTTTGCACTGCTGTGACACATTACGAAACAGACTGACTGCCTCACATGCAGCAGTTTGCTGCAAACCAGGGTGCTCTACGTCATGCATCTCGAGGCCAACGCTGGACATGTACGACCTCGCTTCGATTCACGCTGTACTCATTAAGGCACATCCCTTCGCAGCCTGCAAGTTTGCTGTATCTTCTGCTTGCATGCTATGTATCCGAGAAAATGCTGTCTATTCTGTCTACCACCCAAAGCCAGTGCTCCGAATTGCACGTATGAACATAGCAAGAACGTGGCCTCACATGCAGCTGGATTCAGCTCAAGCCGAGGGACACCATGACGTCGCTTCGCATATGTTTTTTGAACTCGGTCTTGGTAATTGTTCCTGGATCGAGAATTCCAGCAGTTCGTTAGCACTCACCAGTCTCGCAGTTTGTTTGAAAGTTTTCCATTCCTGCCGAAAACACCAGTCCGGCATGGAAACATGTGTCATTTAGTCTGTATTATTGCTGTCACACAGGTTGGCGAAGAGCAGCGCTTACCCAATCATGTCAGCAACAGCAAGGCTGTTCAGACTGCAATGCGGCTTCAATGGCCTACAGACCGTGCCACGACCTTGCCTGAGTTGTCTGTGTCCAACTGGTTGCCTCGGTAGCACTTACGCATGCCGACGGCAAAGTCTACCCCTGCTTGCTTTTCGGAAGATCGTTCTGAGCTATGCACAGAGGGCCTTGAAGTCCTCAACCTACAACCAGCGGAGAGAGAGAAGCACGACAGTCGTGCTCACTTCACACCGTGTACGGCAAAGAAGGGTATCCACACGCAAAGGATTGCATAGGCGCCTGTTTCGCCAGCTTCTTCTGCTCCTCCCAAATCATTTCATCTCCTGGGTTGCCGAATCCAGTCTTGAAAAGTCACTCAGAATGCAAGCAGCCAGACATCGCGTTGCGTCGCCGATTGGCAACATTGCACTTGGAGTCCAGCTATCAGGAATGGCAGCTGTCAGCGCGCGCTCAACGAAGACACCCGTCATGATGTTGAACAGTGCAAACCTACAGTGCTTGGAGCCATCATGCCGCAAGCTGTTAAGAGAATAGTTGGAATTACACACCTTTTTCCGGAAGACCCTGCTACACAACATCACGCGCGAACGCCTGTGGACATGCAGTGGCAGCCCTGTTAGATTACTCCAAAAAGGTCAATCGGCTGCGAGCCTCTGACATGGAAAGCATGCATGACGAAGGAAAGCGAAATATTCCAAAAATACAAGGGGATCTTGGCGGCGCCGGGCTAGATAAACATGTCCGCGAGATTCTCAACTTCGTCACATCATAGACTGCCACGTTCCGGCCAAGCTGCACAAAAAAGAATGTATAGAGCAAAAACAAAACGTCATAGAAAGGACCACATTGTCGAACCTGAGAGCTGGCGGTGCAGTCGAAAGCATGATCAAAGTCACCGCCGAAACTAAATTGTCTAGTTGAGCGCATGCCCGGTTATAGTCTCCAGAACAAGAGCCCTCACCACTGGCGCACGTTTTAAAACTGATGCCCTGAAAGTTTGCCAGAAGGCGGTCTCATAGTATTCCACCCAGTCATTTCCACCTGTCACGGCCATGTAGAGAGACAACCTGGGATGGGTCTTCTGAAGTCACACTTGCAATCTGCACGTGTGCAGAGCTTGACATGTGTGACCAAAGCCATGAGTTCCACTCCAGGAGGCATGCTGTCCAACACCGAACCGAACTGGCTCAGGATCGACTGTGCAAGGCACAGGAGGTTGGACAAGAAGGGCCGGGCATTACTGGGCAAAAGCTGTCCCTGCTGACATCTCGAAGCAGCGGCTACAATCGTCTCATATGGATTTCACAGCTCGGCCTGCTCGTCCTCTGCACTGAATGTCTGCTCTCTGAGCAAGTCGGTGACGCCTTGGACAAAGACCTTGGCGACGGTTACTCTGGCTGCATCCCTGCCAGCCCGGAAGAATCTAGCAGTGTCTGTCAGCACATGCAACCACTCTCAACGAAGCTCGCGTTGTCTCGCATGTACTTATGCTTGGCAACAACAAGGCCGTCAAGAATGCAAGTTGTTTGCAGCTGAGGTGGGAGCCAGCCTTAGATGGCGAAGATAAGAAATCGCGCATTCAAGGTTGAATCTGTGCATGCATACAATGGAATGTTGGCACGTCTCCTACTCTGCTCCCATGCAGCACAGGTTGCGCAAAAATGTACAAGAGAAAGATGAGCAGGGTCAGCCCCCAGAACCTCGCCCGCGCTTGCTTCGCAACGCTCAACAACAGCATGAGCCAATTAATCCAACCATCTCGCTTCAATTGGTGGTTTCTTCAGCCAGCCGGCATGGCCACAAGGCACTTCGTAAAGCTTTCCACCATCATGGAGAGCTCTCGGAACACCTGGCAAGGCAACTGTCACGGGAGTCCTTGATGCCGCCCACAATACATGGATCGCAACGCTCTGCCACACGAAGGCGCGGCTTGCATAACGACGGGACTCAACTTGACTACCCGTGACGTCATTCCGAACAACCCGTCGCTCAAATTCGCCTTTATGATTCGGATCGTGCGGAGGATCTTCGTGATTTTGAAGAGCCGGAACATTCGCATGAAGGACACATTGCCACCTCAGAAATCGTTGGATTGCAGACTAGTGTTGCGGCTTGTTTGAGTGAGCTGTCCATCGTCAGCAGTTTGTCCTTACGGTTCCATACCGTTAGGAAGACCGACAGAGCGTCCCCAGCTTGTTTCACACACGTCAATCAAACAAAGCAGCCGCCAACATTGCCTGGAATCCAATCACATGACATGCTCTTCGCTCGGAAAGGATCCGGGTCACATCCGCTCCCTTTGGGATCCCTGGGCCCCTCTGGGACCTGTGTGGAAGGCCCTCAGCTTCAGAAATTTCCCAGCGCTTCGTTTAGGGGTCGTGCTGTCCATGATCCTCTTGCAGCTCAGCTGCTTCGGCATGGCTTTTGCAGGACTACGCTCCCCGAAAATCTAGAGCTATATCTCCAGACTGTAGACATTCTACAACGGCCTCAACAAAGGGAGGCCAATCTCACATTCAGCGATCTCCTCCGATTGGTTCTGTCAGGAGTTTGAAGTGTATAACGAACAACAACACCAGAAGTTCTACTGATGTTGACATGAGGTATGTAGCATCTCAACCTGGAGGAATAACGTGAAAACTGCAAACCTCAACCCAAGCATCAACCCTGGAACCCTACAGCCTCAAGACCCCAACTCTAAATAAATAACCAAGCTCAAGGGCCATCCTAGTCATCGTGGGTTCTGTCAAGCGGCTGCCACTTTCCTGTTCATGTCTCGCCAGCTGCATGAAAAAGAGGCCGACATCAAACCCGGAAAATGCAACCTCGGCTTCACTTGCTGGAGCATTCCAAGTCCAGGGCAGAGGGTCTGCTGATCAGAACCACGGACGTCGATGCACGAAACGGCAGAAGGCCAGCTGAAACGTGAAGGCTGAAACACAGTTCCAGACTACCTTCCAGCCAACCCAGGCGAGTAGCCAGCAGGAAGTCAAAACAGTTCCAGCCAGCGCTTTCACCGATGAAGAAGAAACAACGATGAACTGTGAGTCCTCAGCCCCAAACATTCATGCCATTGCACGGGGAGAGAGGAATCTCTTTATCCGAATCTTGCACGTCAAGAGTCGGAGCCCGAGCTCCAGGGCATAAAAGGCCAGAAACCCCATTTCCAGATAGTTGAAGTGGGGCGGAGGCGTGCCTCCAATGTGGTTCACTTCCCAGTCCTCAGAAAAGCACATTGTTGACAAAGCCTCCTTTCTTCTTCTTTCCATCCCGTCTACGGAGTCTACGACCCAGGGTTTGTTTTGTTGGCCTAGTGGCCTAAGGATGCCCGGTCGCTTTCGTACCTTTGTGAGTTTGTATAAACGAACTCGCACACACGGTCTACTCGTGCACTTGCCTCGGTTGTTGCCGGCGGCCTACAGTGCAAAACAGGCTCTTTGTGTCCTTCCTTCCATGCAGAACCGGGAAGAGGCTTTGGGGTTTTCAGAGTGGTGTCCCCTACGGATTGATTGTACGAGCGAGATCGGTTCCTTTTAGCTGAATCCCTCAGCCCCTGCAGCCTCTCTGCCTGTCTAATTCTGTCTGTGTGTGCACAAAGTGTGTGGGTGGTCTGCATAGCTGAGTCTGTAGCAATGTAGCATCTGTGTCTCAGTCTCTGTTTGTAGGTCCGACTCTGGCTGTCGGACAGTTCGTCTGGGGCACTTTGCAAAGAACTGCTGAGCACTTCCAATGACTCCAGTGGACTACGGTGGCAGTGCACGGCACCTCCTGGCCCATACATGTTCTGCCTCTCTGCGCCACGTCTCTGAGGACATTGTCACAACGACCGCATGCATCATGATCACCGTCGAAGAAAGTGTGAAGAAAGGCCTGGACCTGACTCGTTTCACAGATCAGCTTCCCGGGTAACTGCAGCAGCAAATCCTTGGAGCGGATGGCAGGTGCTTAAGCTTGGGACTCCAGGATCTTGTAGGCACAGCCACCTCGATCCTCGGCTGCCAATTCCCCAATGACAGTCCCGCAAAACCACAACGCTCATGCGCACGTCAACTACACCACTGCATCACACACTTATTGACGAATGCTGACAGGGCTCTGGCTCCTCTAAGTGGTTCCACCACTTCAGCAACGAGTGCAGGCGTCTTGCACAGCTCTTCGGTTCATCGGCTTGGTCGTGAATGGAAATTTTGAAGTTCCTCAAGTCGCCCGCGGTGAAGTTGCAAGCATGCTGTCACGGCTGTGAGCTTGACTATCCCTTGCCGCGTCACGCAACATCATGCAATTTCACACCAACTTAACCAATCGTCAAATTGCGAATCCCGACACACGGCAATCTTACAACCAAGGAGCCCAATGCCCACCTCTGCGACAGAGGCTGTCGACTCCTGTATAGGCCGCCGAGAGCCATGGATGGGACTGGATGACACAGACACAATGCATTTTCATCAGCAGGCCTTCCGGGTGGCTATAAATCGACGCAGTCCTTAGCAAAGCAGGGCCGGGCTCTTGGAAGCACTACAAGCCCCAACTTGTGTGGCATTTTCGGTCTGGTTCAGTGTTCTGACCTGTTGCTCCGACCCTGTTTTTGAGGACTTGGTACAGTGTTTTAATGATTCCGACCTAGCTCATGTTCCAGAATACCTTTCCTATCGTGCTCAGTCCGGTACGAACCTGTGTTCACGAGTGATAGTGTTCCTTCAGCATTCCTCGTTCTTGATTGCGCGACTTGCCCGGGGATATCTATCCATGCATACTCGCTTCCGTACTATAGGTAGCCTTGTTGCTGATGACTGGCGCCTTTGCGCCGGAAAGCTGAACTCGGAGACTAGCCAGCTTGTGTTGGTGTTGTTATTGTTGTTTGGCTGTACGTGATGTGCAGCGCAGTAGCTCGCATGGGCAAAATCAGCTAAGATTTTGTCGTTTGTGTGCTTCTTGACCTTCGGGTAAAAAAGCTCACGCAATCGACATTAGTTATGCTGTCGTCAGTTGCTTTCCGCGATAGCCTATCTCTTGGGCCTGTCGGGAGTTTTACGAATTGACTTGGATGCCTCTGGTCGTCCCAACCTTTCTACAGCATGCGCCGCTGTCCGCAACAGCATTGTGCCAAGAGGCCAAGCTGGGTGTGAGAGCCTTCGGGCTCGTCTTCACTGTTGGCGGTGCTTGCAGCGCGACTTCCTGTCAGCTACGTGCGGCGAATGGCATGCGCACTCCCACTTGGCGGCTTGCGTCATGTCTGTCACATCCATGCTGCTACAGCTCCGTGCTTCTACCTCGCCATACCTCGCCTTTCGAGGTTTTACGCCCATCTCTTCGACCTCAGCCGACGGTTTCTTAGTGGAGGGTTCCAGATGGTTCCAGACACCGGGCCGGGCTGCCTTGTGTGGAGGGTTGCTCTTTCTGGCCAAGACACTTTCCAGTACTCATGCGAATCGTTGAATGCAATAATGTCTAGAGCCCTGCCCCGACTCATGTACTGCTCAGTCTAAGTCGTGAAACTGTCCTGCTAGTCTCCGCCTCGTTTACATGCTGAGCTCAAGAGCCTATTTGCCGCGAGGAGATCTTCCTCGGCGAGTCGGGGGCTGCGCGGCCCTGAGCGAAAATTCCGATTCCACCCCGTGCGTAAAGTGCTGCATTGAAAACTGTGCCAAGTAAAGCTCTGCTCTGCTGGCGCCTGAACCACAGATACGGGTGAGTCGGCCCAGGCATTGGTCAAGTTGGCCTCCCACAGTCGATTAAGGCAGACTTAGTTTGCTGCCGATCCACTTGTGTGGCTTCATTGACACACTGTGGCACTGTGGTCCAGTAGACCGAACATCGCAGATGCAATCCGATGTCAGGAATCTCGCAAGCTTGAATCCCAAGAGCCCAAAGCCCGACACCTTCACAGACTAGTTAGACGCATTTTGACGCCAAATTGCGATTAATCCCCAGCAGTTCCAGTCTCGCAATCACAACAAATCTGTCTTTCACAAAGGCTCGCTGTTGCGACGCTTTTTTGTCCAAACAGAAGATGAGCTGCGAGGTTGCGAAATTCGACAAAAACTGCGGCGAAGCTGAGAAGGCAATCTTGTAGTGTGGTTTGGCTTTTTCGGGTTCCTGGGCCCAGCCCGGTGCGGCCCGGTTTGGTTGTTCGTCCTTTCTGGTGCTTGGCCCTCGCTTGTCGGCCGGCTCCGGTTCGGGCCTGGGGTAGTCTCCGGTGGTGGCTGGGGTCCGCTCTGGCTCTTGCGGCCTTCGGCAGTAGGAGGCCGGGGAGGAGCAGTGGTGGTAGCAGAGTAGTTTAGTAGGGTGGTGGTGGTAGTGGTGGTGGCGGTGGTGATGGTGGTGGTGGTGGTGGTGGTGGTGGTGGTGGTGGTGATGGTGGTGGTGGTGGTGATGGTGGTGGTGGTAGTGGTGGTGGTGATGGTGGTGGTGGTGGTGGTGATGATGGTGGTGGTGGTGGTCCGATCGAGGAGGAGGCGGAGGAGGAGGAGGAGTAGAGTAGAGTAGTCGCAGTGTGGTAGTAGTCGTCGCCGTCGTAGTAGCAGCAATGGAAGTAGTGGTAGCGGCAGCGGTAGCAGTCGCCGTCGTGGTCGTCGCTGTCGCCGTCAACGTAATGCAGTAGTGACCGCCCAGTTGTTGCAACGCTTGCCTACGTTCACTGCACTTTGCTGCATGGCTGCCTCGCGGCCGCGGCTGTCATCGACGTTCTTGACAGCAGCTACCTTTCCCAGCCTGCACCACATCGTGGTAGTGCAACACAGCTTAGAATGATAGTCTTCGAGAACTGCTGATAGTACTGCATGGATTTCAGCGAATTGGCAAGAAGTGCAGCCAGGGAACTCAGTCTTTTTCAGAGCCGGTTGGGTTTGCTTGCCAGTAATGCTCTTTGACAAATGTTTGGGAGTCCTGGCACGCAACAGCGAATAGGTGCTTGCAGAGAACGTGGACAAAACCGTCAACCACTGCGAGCCCACCTAGACCTAGAAGCATGATGATCTGAACTCGAGACTGAATGCCAAGGAAGCATTGCGCGGCCAACATGCAGAATGGTCTACATACACAACTCAGAATACGACCATCGCAGCTGCCAGTAGTAGAGCAAGCTCGAGTACTGCGCGGATGAAATTGCTTACATCCTGATTCTAACGGTGTCCACACCGGGGGCGCCTGTTGGCCATTGGCTACAGTCGTCTTACCTAAACGACACGCGAGTCGAGATGGTCCCGAAAGTCATTGTCCCTGTCGCCACTGAGCCTGGCAGGACACACACTCGAGTCTCGGGTAACAGCCGAAAGCCGACCCCATTTTGACTCATGGATGGTTGTGGCCCCCCAATGTAGTAATGAATACAGATGCTGGCCAGGGCGCAGTCGCTACCCTTTCGCACCAAGCGCAGTCGGAGAGGGCGATCTCTCAGAAGTGGCAACAGTTCCTGCAGCTGCTTCGTTTTATCTTTGGGTCTTTGGGGATGTCGCAAGTCCCTTGACAGTCGGCCGTGGCGTTTGTGCACGATTGCATGTCTCTCCTCTCGTGGACGCCCTTCCGTCTCTGTGTCGTTTATGGCCTGGGATGACTCAAGCGATGCGAAACCACTACCATGCATGACGGTAGGGGTTACAGATCATGCAGAGTCTGCTGGGTCGGTTCATTTGTCTGAGCAAGCTGCAAGAAGTAGATCTCCAGGGCAAATGCCAACAACTTGGGCTGCCGTGCCCTGCGGGATTGATGTATGGTGGCAGGTGCGTCAGGCCCAAGCATCCTTGAGATCAGGCCTCATCCACCCTCTGTATGGTGGGCCTGAGCAAGGCTGGAGCAACTGAGAGTGTTTCAAGATTTCCTGGCCAGGCGCCTTTGTGCGCTCCACGCCACTCGTAGGCCCAGGTGCTTCACCTGAAGGCCGTTCATTCTATTGAAATTCTGCTGCAAGTGTCGTGTTGTCCGTTGCAACGACGTCTTGAAGCTTGGATTGTAGTATGCAGCACATGTCGAAATATGTCAAACACAGGTTCACCGGTTCACCTCACTGGCACGTACTGGACGAAGGTTACAAAAGGCTGACACTCTCCGGAATGCCACCTCCTCGTCAAAGACCTTGACGAAAGGCTCCTGAACGACAGGATACGACAGGTCTCACTGAGCCGAAGGAGCTGCTGAGGGACTCTGCGGGGAGAATCACAGGTTCGAAAGATCATTCGCGGGCTGCCTCGGAAAGCGAGACCTGCTCCAGGCTGATGGGTGCGCAGTGCAGCCTCGGATTCAAGCCAAGACATCCAAGGAGAGACAAAGAGAGTCATGGATCCGATTCAATGTGCTTGCGTGTGGAATTGGCCAACAAGTGCCACAGGGCTTAGGTGGTCAATAGCAGAGCACACGGTATCTGAAAAAAAAACAACACACTGCAAGCACGAACGTTCGC